TCTCGCGATGTTTCGCGGGTCGGGGCCGCCGGTGGTACCTGTGAATTATTTTTGGATTCTTAAAAAATATTTGGGCGCACCGCGCCCTCGTCATCGCAACCCACCGATGGTGGGTGCGATGGCATCCGACTAGTGGTCGTCGGGAACGATGCTTTGCTGGGCGCATCGTTACAAATTTAATGTATGTGCAAAGCACGGTAAGTGTTTATCGATACCAAATCCATCTATAATAGCTTTTTTAATATTTGCAGCATTATTTGAAACTATGAATGCAATGTTTTCAGAACGAATGTTCCATTCGCTTGTCAAGTCTAGTAATCAATTTTTTAAATATTCTCCAGTGTGCCGTTCTGATAACTCAGTTATACCTATTGTGACGGATTTGTGTTCATTTTCCATTAAGAAATGCACCGTTAAACCCAAGTAGCTTATTCTGTTGAGCGGTTCCGTCCATGTATCTATCGTTAGCGACACGTATTTTGTTAATAATTGATTTTTTATGAGTTTGGATATTTCATATTTTTCTTCCAAGCATCTGGTAATAGTTTTCCTACATGGAATCTTATAGAGTGGCGCTAATGTTTTCATTAGAGTACAGAAGCCTTCTTTCTCAACAGTTGAGAAAGCCGTATTGTCTTTTGCCAGCATAAAGGTGATTTTATTTGTAATGTCAGCAGCTTTGGCTCCTCCATCTAAAATACGATATTGAAGTTATATACGAGGGGCATTACTTATATTTTTTTGAGTCTTGGCAACACTGAGTGTTGTCAGGTGCCATCTGACGTTTCCATTAGAAAGTTTGACATTTTTGACCATAACCTTCTTCAGAACGTTTTGTTATTTGAGCGCGATTTATATTGTTTACAGTCACTTGAAAATTGTGTCTCAGCGAAAAAATGGAATTAACTCGTGAAAATTTTCGTGCAATGATTTATTACGACTTTCGACGTGGATTATCAAGACAGGAGTGCATCGATCAACTTACTTCCACTTTTGGCGATAAAGCCCCATCCTTTACCACTGTGAAACGCTGGTATGACGAATTTAATCGTGGTCGCCGTTCGCTCACCGACGAAAGTCGTGAAGGTCGTCCAAAATCAGTTGTTGTGTCAGAAAACATTGATGCTGTGCAAAAACTAATAATGCAAGATCGTCATGTGACATACTGTGAGATTGAGACAACCTTAGGCATTAGTTCCACCAGCATATATAAAATATTGCATGATCATTTAGCCGTGAAAAAGATTTGTTCTCGTTGGATCCCACATAATCTGACAAAATCTCAAAAAGATGCTCGTGTCGATTGATGCAAACAAGTGGTTCGAACGCATGCAAAAGTGTACGAGTATAGATCATAAAGGAGAATATTTTGAA